TAGATTCCTAGTATTCCTAATTCTCATCTATTGCTTTCCAATGTCCCTTCAGATGCAACTAATTTTACAGTTGTATATCTTTGCAGCACTTTTTCAGTATTCCTGTGCATTCTGAAAATCAATATTTGTATGCTTTTACCTGTGAAAATCAACAATTTACCTGGACTGTAATACTCCAAGGATTTACTGAATCTCCCACCTATTTTTCTCAGATCTTGCATGTGGATTTGCAGCCTCTACAGTTTACAAACAAATCCACTTTGCTGCAATATGTTGATGATTTGCTAGTTTGCTAGACCTCCCAGTAAGCCTATGTTGACAACAGTGTAGCTTTATTAAAACATCTGGCTGCTGGTGGATATAAGGTTTCCAAAGAAAAATTACAGTTGGCTCAGCCTTCTGTTAAATATTTGGGCCACCTAATTTCTGCAGAAGGCATCTCTATTGATCCCAAATGGAAATAAGTTATTCTTGTCTTTCCTATACCTGAAACAAAGAAACAGCTGTGGGGGTTTCTAGGACTCTGCAGCTATTGTCAAACCTGGATTCTCAATTTTTCTTTGTTGGTTCAACCTTCATACAAATATTTAAAAGCTTCTGAGCCAAATTCCAAATTACACCAGAAGATTGAGAGTCAATAGTTCAATTAAAAAGGGCTTTAATGAACACACCTGCTCTAGGTTTTCCTAATTACCACCTAAATTTTTCCTTATTTGTACATGACATATCTGGAAATGCTTCAGGTGTACTAACTCAAAAACATGGAGGACAACAAAGACCTATAGGTTATGATAGCCTACAGCTTGACCTTGTAGCCAGGAGATACCCTCCCTTAGGGCTGTGGCTGCTACTGTCAAACTAGTGGAAATCACAGCAGATGTGGTGCTGGGAAACTTTTTAGATGTCTATGTGCCCCATGCTCTGTCTGCCTTACTTAATTGTGCCTTGACACAATATCTTTCTGCCCGCAGGCTCCCCTCCTATGAAGTTCTCCTCCTAGCTGCATCTAACATTAGACTACACTTCATGGCCTGTTGAAATTGACAGCTACTCTTCTAACCCGCAACTAATTAGAACAACTATCCTACATGTGATTGTCTAGATTTGACTGAGCAACTTTTAAGCCCTCAGAAAGACTTAAAAGAGACCCCTTAAACTAATCTTGATTAGTTTTGTTTGTGGAACATTCCTATTTAAAACCCAATCCTACTAGTCCTCACTATCAAGCTGGATATGCTGTTATGACTTCTGCTGAAGTCCTTGAAAGTCAGGCTCTCCCTGAAGCCATTTCAGCCCAACAAGCCAAATTAATTACTAGAGCTTGTAGAATTGCTTCAGAAAAATCTGTTAACATTTTTAAAAACAGTAGATATTGTTTTGGAATTGTATATGATTTTAGCATGTTATGGAACTGGAGGATTTTTACCTCTTCCAGACATGCTATTAAAAAAAAAAAAAAATGGAGCTTTAGTAGCGGACCTTCTATATGCTCTATTAGTCCTCTCTGAAATTTGCTGTGATAAAATACAAGCTTACCAACCAAAAAGAGTACTCCAAACTGAAGAAATTAGAGGAAATAATCCTGCTAATATGGCAAGCTGCCTCTCAAGTTATTTCTGTACTTATGATAAGAAAGGAACTCCCAAAATTTGTCTAATGATAACTCCAACCTTCATGAATTAACTTTAGAAAAACTTTTAAAACACCAACAATTAGCCCAAACAGATGAAGTTAAGGCATGGAAAACAGCAGGCTGTTACCTAGATCCTGCCACTAAACTGTGGACTGGGCCTAACAAGAAAACTGTCTTACCCAATTTCCTGTGTGTTCCTATGATGTGAGCCTTAAATGAAGGTTCCCACATGGAATAAGATAAAATGATTGAGACCTTAAAAAAATAATGATGGGGAAAATTTTTCGAGGCTGCCAAACCTGTCGCCACCCATTGCCCTATTTTCCCTTGCTACAATCACAAAAAACACCTGGAGGTCCTACCTGGACAATACCCTTTATCTTCTGGGCCTATGCTTGAATTACAGCTAGATTTTATTCAGCTTCCACCCTCAAATGATTAGAAATTTGTATTAATAATGATTTGCAGATTTTCACATTGGGTAGAAACTTTCCCCTGCCATCATGCTACTGTAGCTTTTGTAGCAAAGAAACTTCTTGAAAACATCATACTTACCAGGGGAACACCAAAAACTCTTTGTAGTGATTGAGGAACTCATTTCACAGGTCAAGGCATCCAAGAACTGTGCTGAGTTTTTCCCATTCATCAAAGACTACATTGCCCCTATCACCCTCAGTTTTCTGGTCTAATAGAAAGAACTAATGGAATAATGAAGATCCAAATAGCAAAGCTTTGTGAAACTTTAAATTTATCCTGCATTAAGGTCTTTCCCTTAGTTCTTTTAACTCTGAGGTCCACACCATTTGGATCTCACAAACTTAACCCCTATGAAATAATTACTGGGAGACCCATGGTTCTTCCTTATGTTGCCTGCACCAACCCTAACACTGTTCAACCTGAATTACTGAAGTATTTCCAGGCTTTAATCCAATATTATAAAGACTATCTTTCACAGGTTAGAGAAGCCTTTGACAAACAGAAACTAGACTCCCAATGTCTGCCTAATATCACCCCAGGAGAATAAGTATATTGGAAGAGACACCAAATAAAAGACTCATTAGAACCTTGTTGGAAGGGACCATACTTAGTCCTCCTCACCAATTCATGTGGAGCCAAATTAGAGGGAATAAAATCTTGGATCCATTTGTCATTGTTAAAAAAGGCTAAGACTCCTCTTTGGACTAGTCAACCCACCAGAGAATTAAAGGTTACATTTAGGTGCCCCTGCAGCAAGAAGCAGATGACATCTGAAGCAGACGGCTGATCCAAGACCCTGGACAAGCACCTCTTTATCTTTTTTTCTTTTTACCTTTGCTACAGTCACATCTCTACTAATGTTTTCCTAGATTGGACAGATGCTTATGATCACCATTTTAAAAGGTTTAATTGTTGGATATGTGGTGCCCTTCCAACCTCAAATAAGTCTGTCCTTCCCTGGTGGGTCTCTCCACTACAGGTATCTAATTGAATTGCTCTTGATCTATGGATACAAGAACAGAGAAATAATTTATTACTACAGGAAATCACTATTACCAGATTTTCCATTGACAAATGGCCTCTTTTCTGATCTGAACAAAACCCAGGCCATAACTTAATCTTTAGTCTTAACACAACCCTTACTTTACTAAATAAAGTTGCCCAAGAAGAGCTAGCTTAAGAATATTCTAACCCCACAAACAGCATTCTTTGTACTGCAGGTCCATATTAACAACTATGGGATAGATTCATCTCGTTAACTCCCCAAGCACAGAGACTAAGTCAAGTTGCTCCCCTTTGCTGGGAACAATCTAACCACATTCATATGAGTAATCCAGCTGTCACCACAACTATGGCTTCCAACATCTGAATGTGCATACGTTATTACCTTAGAAGCTACTGATTGGTTAGCCACCGACTGGCTACAATGCTCAAGTATGTAGTTGGTAGCCCTTAATGACATCTTCTGGCTATGCAGAACCAACCATTGGCCCTGGCTCCCACGAGGCTGGATTGGAAAATGCACTCTGGACTCAAGGATGTATTTTAACTGAATTACCTTTGCCAGCTAATATGCCCATATTAAGAGCTCGATGGTCTCAATTAGTGTTTTATTTGCTTCATCATTCAACAGCAGTATTTGCCTCAGGTAAGACTTGGAGATATTATGGAACATGTAGAAATATTAATCAAAGATGTACAAATTGCCCTAAATGACAAATTGCCAGAAATAGCAATGGTAAGAAAAGCAGTACTCCAAAACAGAAAGGCCCTTGACATTCTCACTGCAGCCCAAAGGAGTACCTGTGCCATAATAAAATCTGATTCTGTGTCTATATTCCTGAAAATAGTGATAATATTACACCCTATGTTAATCATATGCAATGTGCAGTATCCTGCCTTAACGATCCTGTTCCTTCCTTAACTGAAATTATAAGTTATTGGTTTTCCTCTCGGGGTAGATGGTGGAAAAAATTGGTACTTGATTTTGGAATCTTTATATTCCTCCTTGTTTCTATTATTGTAATTATAAAATGTTGTTTTCCTTTAGTTCAACACATATTATTCATGAAATGCTGTACATCAATACCATTTGACGCTTTACATAAAATCATGCTGGTTTCACAGGCTTTCAGCAATGATCATGTTGCTTAACCACTTCCCTTTTGTCTCCTTGGGTATGTTTCATCTTGACCTCTATCGTTCTGTCTGAAAAATGTTCCTCAAATGTGGCCTTATCCATTAAAATATTCCCCCATAAAACCTACTCACCCTGAAGATAGGTCTGTTAGTTCAACAAGATGAAGAAAATAATTTTTATTAACCAAAGGTCCTCAAGAAAACAGACAAAGTTCTTGCAGAAGAAAGGCTACTTCATTTTGGGTGATCAGTGCCTCCTAGCAGAGGCTTGCCCAAAGGGGGGAAATGCAAATGGAAAAGTTTCAAACTAGAAGCACTCATGTCAGAAGAATTATTATGCCAACATACACTCCAGGACACAAAAGGTCAGGATGTAAACCATTTGGGAAGAATGCTTCACAACGTGAACAATTTGTTTCCAGGGGGAGAAAAAAGTGACTAGCAATATAACCGAACGAGCTGGCGCTTCTCACCTAGGTGGTAACTCGCTCTTTCCTAGCCAAGTGGCTGACCTTTACTTTTCAAGCTGAAGCTGATCTTATCTGAAATCAATCATTAACCCTCTACCTTTCCTTTGTTCTCTATGTACAAAGACCCCTCTCTCTCCTTAAACAGTGGAGTGCTTTGTATTTTTTCCTAGCACTGCCCAGCTCAAGCTGTATTATTCATCAGTAAAACTCCTTTCATTTCACTCCTAACACAAGTCCCCAAAGATCAAAATATTTGTATTTAATTTTCTAAGTTTTCTTACCACCTGTTTTCCCTTTGCCAATGATTACTTCAGGATAAATTTTGCCTGCTTTCCTTAGATGAGGTAAAAAAAACTTTAAGTCTTCAAATGTATCAGATACTACTTCATTCTTACCCAGCGTATCCACTTTCTTCTCAACAACTGAAAGAAAGAAGAAAATAGGGCTCCTGAGTTTACAACTATAGGGACTTTTCTCCCTCTAGTACAATTTTTTTAAATGAAGGTTAATAAATTAATTCACAAATTTACTGTTCAATATAAAAGAAATATAGTATTAAATGGGAATTATAAAAAAAAATAAGGCTACAAAATGTAGCTCAGAGATGACTGATTCATCTTTATTAAATAAGTTATATTTAAGTCTAGCACCATGAACTACACAAACCAGAGGCTAATAGAATGCTCAGTTCCAAATAAAGCAAGTAGAACTGAAACGTGGTAATTAGTCTGTTCTGCTACTTTAATATCACTGCATTAAATTTGTATCTTTATAACTTCGTTTTGCAGCCCCTCAACTTAATGACCCTGTACTATTAATTTGAAATTGTTAGATTATTTTGCTAGTGCTTTTAATTCATTTCATGATTTTATGCCAACTAAACTAAGTTTTTCAAATATATAGATAATAGTTTGTCTCTGTTTTCTCTTCTTAGTATCAACTATTGTGCTCTGATAAATATGTTTTTCTAGTTTATAATGGAATGGAGATAGAGGGCCTATCATAATTTATCTGCTTGAGTGAATTTATCCTGGCATTTTAATATTCTATATCAGTGTTTAAACGAGGAATACATGAATAAGAACCAGCTATAATATAACACAGTTTAATACTGGAACTTCGAGTATGGACTGCAGATTACAGAAGGAAGAGTACGATGCTACAAAGATATAAATTTGATAGGAATTTAATTTGAAAAGTATTGTGGGGTCACATATAAGTATAATATCATGATTCCTATTAGTGATGCTTTCTCCAGTGCTCTGTAATATTAGTTGGTGTTTTTCACACATAAAATTGATGCCACTGACCAAATGTTAATGGGTAATCTGCTATGGTTTTCCAGAATGGAAGTACATGTTTTTGCATTTAAAAAATGTTGTCTTCTGGAATTAATGGCATACATGCACAAGACAGTTGGCCAAAGATAACAGACTAATCTGTAACAATGGTACAGAGAAAAGTCAAAGGGTCTATTGAAAAATTATACTTGGTCCATCTCATTAGCACAGCATTATGATAAATAAAAATTAAAAAATGGGATTGACTTCTAGCATGACAGTGTGAGGAGCTCTACAGACCTGTACTCTGGAGAAAATGATAAAAAACAAAACAACCATTTAAAGCCTCTGGAAATGGGCCTAAAGGCACATAGCAAATGGAAACATCCATTCAGAAAGTCTACAAAAATTTGACAATAAAAGCAAAATTTGGGTATTTGAATCCAAACCTCCCTCCCTCCCCCTCTTCCAGCTCAGCAAGATGGAAACTCCATCTCAGACTGATGCAGCTAAGAACACGGGGCTCCCTCTCCCACCAGTCCCTAGTCAGACAGCTTTCCTCCTCAAGTAACAGGACATCAGCTTTTCTTATCCTGCCTCCAGCTACCTGTTGCTAAGGCTGAGTTTGGGGAGACTGAAGGAAAGAGGAGGGGTTTTCTTCCCAGCCCCCACCTTGGGTGTTGTGCCACTAAGAACACTGGGGCCTCCATCTCCCTTGCCATGACTTTTAAGGCAGTTCTATTCCAGGAGAAACAAGCCACAAAGACCTCAAGCAACAGTCCCTCCACCTCCACCAAGTGCTCATATCCTAAAGTGAGGGAGTCACGCTGAGAGAAGCATGCTATTGTTCCCACCCTTAGCTTCAAAGCCCTAACACAGAGATTTTGCCTGGGAGGAGAAGCAGGCCATAAAACAGATAGATCCTAATCACTTCTCAAAGGAAGTGACTTCATTTGCACCAGAGTTGAAGAAATTCAAGCCAAAGGGTGCTCTCAAAAACAGTGGAGGTTGTGCTAAAAGGCAATTGGAAGGAAATTCGTAATTCAGTGAAGATACAGACTAACCTGTCTGTAAGGGGCTAGTTTGCAGGAGGGAATAAGGTAAAGAGATAGCTCTCTGGGGTCAGAACAAGTATCAAGTACTGACCTTGGGAATTACTCCTTCAAAGGAGCTCAAATTTGATTGGATTAGTCTGGAGAGCAATTTATTGAAAATAATAAAGCAATCAACTGAAAACTAGTAGAGCTGGGTGTGGTCAGGGAAAGATATATAAAGAGCCCTGCCAAAAACACTGTCATCCCAGGATGACTGTGGGCATACCCAAAACAGTGCCTCCCTAAAAAGCAACATCACTGTGGGGGTCGGATGCAGATAAGCTTCATTAAAATAAACCAGCCAGTCACTACAAATCAACAAACAAATAACAATAATGGGGGCAGGGAGGGGTGAGATCAGTACCCAGAGTTGCTACCATGTATTATCTAAAATGTACAGTTTCCAACAAAAAAATTACGAGCTACAAGAAGAAACAAGAAAGTATGACCCATACACCGGGGAAAAAGGAGGTTAACAGAAACTGCCTAGGAAAGCAGCCAGATTTCAGACTGAACAAAGACTTCAAAGTAGCCATTACAAATATGTTCAAAGAACTAAAGGAAACCATGATTAAAGAAGTAAAGGAAGGTATGATGACAATGTCACATCAAATAATGAATATCGATAAAGAGAAATTATTATAAAGAACTAAATTGGAAATTCTGGAGTTGAAAAGCACAATAATTAAAATAATTTAACTAGAAAAACTCAACAACAGATTTGAACTGCCAGAAAATGAATCAGTGACCTTAAAGACAGATCAATAGAGACTAGGCAATCCAAAAAAAAAGAGAGAAAAAGAATGAAGGAAAAAAAGGCAGCCTCAGAGAAATGAGTGACACCATTAAATGCACCAACATATGCATAGTGGGAGCTGAAGAGAAGAAGAGAAGAGGAAAGAGAAAGGAGAAGAAAAAAGTATTTGAAGAAATAATGGCTGAAAATGTTCCAAATTTTTTTAAAATATTAATCTACACTTGCAGGAAGTTGTATTAGGAGAGGTCAGAGACAGCATAAAATGGGAAAGTGGGGCTGGTTCATGCACCATCCAGCAGGCAAAGAAAACATCATCCCAAATCATTGGTGAGCACAGACAGTCCTCAGCACAAGGTAGTAGCTTAACTGCTAAAGATTTCACTGGTGGTAACCTGGGAAAATGTCCTGTGATAACTTAGGCATTTAAAATATGTAGGAGGAACAAGTCCTAGAAAGACAGTGGAGTTGGCTGGTTAGAGCTAAATTGTATTGACAACCTATAGAGAGATAATGAGAGTCTCAGGGACATTAGCCATTAGCTAATGGCTAAATATAAAATTCAGAGGGCCTCTTTGGTAATGTACAAGAAGGCCCTTATCTCCAACAATGGAAGAAAAGACACAGATGAATGGCAGGCAGACCATCCAACTCTTAGAGTCACAGAGCTCTAGAGATGTTTGAATGCTCAGTCAAAGCAGGCTTATTGCGCTAAAGTCAAGGCTCTAATGGGAAACGCTTGGGATTCTGAAACATAGCATGGGAACATCTAGATGGCTGCTCTTGAAGAAGCTGGCTCTATAGACCACCCCAAAGCTTTTGGGTGTGCAGAGATGGTAAAACCACTAAGAGTTAGCTGCTGTGCTGGAAGATTTTACAGAGGCCTCTCTCTGGCAAGGAAATAGGCAACCCCATTAGGAGCTGCTGTCACCTCCTCTCCTGGATGCCAAGCGAATAACTAGGATTAAAGCCCAGCATAACCTGGCCAAGAAAGCGCTGAGTCTGATAAGGGAGAAAAGAGACTATACACCAGAACAGCTGCAAGACTTAGCCAGCACGTACTAGGAAGAGCCAGAGGAGTATAACCAAGTTTGTATTATGAGGGTTCTTGATCAAGGGGTATGGGACGAAAGACTAAATAATCAAGAATTCATTGACTTGGGAGAACTTCCCCCAGGGGATGGGACAAACCTGATGCTAGGGTGGCTTCTAGACGTTTAGAAAAAACAATGGACAACGCTCACTGAAGTAGAAATGTCTGAGTAGCCATGGCAGAATGGAGTGGGAAAAGTAAAGAGGCTAAAGGCAGTGATCATGCTGGAATATATACATTAGTAAGGCCAGGAGTCCTACTGGTGTCAAGAACTGTGAAGGGTCTGGAATTTATTTGCAAACCAGCAAATTATACTACAAGAGTTTCATGGATGCTACCAGAAGACTCCTGGGTGAGAGACAAAGACTTTATTACTCACAGCACAGAAAACAACATGAGAATCTTTCTTGTGTTGATTCCCTTCCCCCATACCCCTAATCCCACAGGGCATTGCAGAAAGGCCCATGTGTATGCTGCACATCCAGTGAGTCTGCATCCCAGTTGAGGAATCATGACTTTAAGGAATTCAAGTCTTTTATAATAAGCTGCAAGCAAATCTGTCTGACCTTTGCACTAGAGGGAGATTTTATCTCTATCTCCCAAGATTGTTTGCTATACCAAAAGATATTTGACAAAATATAATCTAGACAAATGGCAGAGTGTCTCTGCTTCCAAGATATGCAGAAATGAGCAAACCATGGAGAACTGTCTCCCAACAATATCCACCCCTAGTTTCTATGTTTTCTTGGCTTCTGTCAAATTTCCCCATGTGTACGCCACTACATCGACCATTTAAATATTAAGCTGCAAGATGAAACCAATCTGAAGTATTGACTTCAACCATATTAAATTAGATTTCCAAATTAGATACTCACCTGATATGTATCCAGTATATATATGTGTGCGTGTGTGTGTGTATATATATACACATACACACAACAAGAAAACAAACAACCCAATAAATTCGGCAATAAATAAAAACAGGCAAGGTATTTGAACAGATATTTCACCAAAATATATACAGATGGCAAATAAGCACATGAAAACTGTCCAATATCATCTGTGATTAAAGAAACACAATATAAAGCTACAAGATAGTGTGACATTTGGATGGCTAAGATAAACTGGTGTGATTGGAACAGTCATACATTACTAGGGGGAATGCAAACTGTACAGCCGATCTGGAAAACAGTATGGCAGCATCTTATAAAGTTAAACATACACTTAACATATGACCATTAATCCTACTTCTAGGTTATCCTAAAGAAAATAAAACTTTCCCTCAGGCAAAAAACCTGTACATGAATGTTTACAGCAACATTATTTGCATCACCAAAATCTGGAAACAACCCAAATGTCCTTCAATGGGTGAATGGATAAACAAACTGCATCCATTGTACAGCCAATCCACACTACTCAGCAATAAAAAGGGAACAAACAATTGGTCATGCAACAACCTGGAGGAATCTCAAATGCATTATGCTAAGTGAAAGAAGCCAGTCTCAAACAGTTACAAACTGAAAGATTCCATTTATAAGACATTCAGGAAAAGGCAAAATTATAGAACCGAGAACTAATCAATCAGCCATCGCTAGCAGTTAAGAGGCTGGGAGAGTTTGACTACAAAGGGGCAGCACAAAGCAGAATATTTTATGCTGGAGAAATGTGGAGTCACTGAAGGTTTATATACAGGGCAGTGTAGCCTTCACTTTGATTACAGTGAAAATAGATAGGTGCGACAAGACTGGAGACAGAGAGAAAAATCAGGAGTATTTTAGGAGTCATTAAGATGAGGCATGAAGGTGGCCTGATGAGGAGAGTGCAGATGGTGATGGGAAGATATGGACAGATCTGTGACATATACAGGATGATGAATCAATGGGATTGCTCACTGAGTAGCATGGAAGTATGGAAGAGGGAGAAGGAGGACTCAGAGATTACGCACCCACCAAATGGATCACCGATGGTGCTGCAATTCACAGAGATAGAGAACAAAGGAAGACTGTTTTCAGGTAGAGATAAGGGGAAGCATATCAGTGACATCTCTTACCTGATTTTTCATGTCTCACAATAAAAGAACCAGTACTTATTTAGGTGTGTTTATTGGGAGGCAATAGCTCTAAAATCACAAGGCATAAAATCTAAATTTCCATAAACAAAAATAAAACTACTATGCACAAAAACAAACGCAACACAAACCTAAGTTTCTCGATAGATCTTCTCTCTGTGTAATTTCACGCTTCACTTTATTTAAGACTTTCATCATCTCTTGGCTATTATTTTCAGTTTTGTTTTTTAAACGTTGCATATTTTCCTTAAACTCCAACATATGGTTTTTACAGTTAATTAACTGATTATCTGCAATAAAAACATAAATGTATATGTTTATACATATAGCAATGGTATCATACAATTTTATATAAAAAATAACAAAATTGTAAAATATAGCTTCAAACAGCTATATACACATAACACTATATATATACACATATGTAAGTACTATACATATATTCTGTGCACGTATATACATGTGTATACACACACACATATATACATAAATATGAAAGACTGGAGAGGCAACAAAATGTTAAAAATAATAATATATGGAAAGTGGAATTATCAGTGGTTTTTTGCTTTATTTGTGCTTTTCTGTTGTCCAAATTTTCCATTTTTTTGCGTGTATTAGATTTGTAATTGTTGTTGTTAGGTGTCGTCAAGTTGGTTCTGACTATGTACAACAGAATGAAACACTGCCCGGTCCTATGTCATCCTCACAATCCTTGCTATGTTTGAGCCCATTATTGCACTACTGTGTCAGTCTATTTCATTGAGGGTCTTCCTCTTTGTCACTGACCCTTTGCTTTACCAAGCATGACGTCCTCCAGAGGCTGGTCCTTCCTGATAACATCGCACCATCCTCGCTTCTAAGAGGCATTCTGGCTATACTTCTTCCAAGGCAGAGGGAAACCTATTGGCCCAAAAATTTCTCTTCTAAGAATTTATGTTAAGAAAATGGCCAAGAATATGTACACAGATTTGGCTCTAAGGATGTTCAACACAGACAGTGTTATTTATCATTCTAACTTCCCAACAATAGGAAATTTGCTAAATAAATTTACAGAATATCCTTTTGAGAATCCTTGTGGCTCTGGTGTCAAATGGTATATAATTAAATCCCAGTTTTGCTACTTAATATTTGTGTGTCCATGGGCAAGCTACTTAACTGATTTCTGTTAGCCTCTGTTCCTTCTTCTATAGATATAAAGGATAATTGCCTCAGAGTTTTCTTGAAGATGTAATAATGCATGTAAACCACTTGGCAAAGCATATGGAAAATATTTTGACAAATGTCTAATAAATATTATTTATCAATAGATTACTCTTTACTCATTTATCATTGGACTATTATGCAGTTATGAAGAACCACCTTGTAGAATAATATTTAATGTTGTAAAAGCAATTGTTTGCTGAAAAATTATGTATAAAATAATATTTTTGCAAAAACGTACATATACATACAGCAAAAGTGATGGAGTAAGTGTACAAGTTTATATTTTCTTACTATATAATCTTTGGCTTTTGGATTAAGTAATTTTTATTGTCTATTTCTGAAAAATTATTTTGTTTCTAAAATCATGTTATATTGCTTCTGGAATTAGAAAAAGTATTAATAAATAAAAAACTAGACATCTGTTATTTGCCAAGTAATCTGTGTCAATGGAAATACAGAAATAAAAAAGGTATGGTAGGTTCCTGCTTTTGAGAAGCTTATAGGCTAATTGGTTGTTGTTGTTACACACTGTTGAGTTGCCTGTAACTCATGGCGATTCCATACACAAAAGGACGAAATGTCATCTGGTACTGCACCATCTCCAAGATCACTGGTATGTTTGAGGCCATTGGCTAATTGGTAGGACTAATTTAATAGATAATTTAAGGCAATGTGATATAGTCAGTGTTAACAGACTCCCTTCCCCTTGAGTTTTAACTAAGTAATAACAGACACAGGATGCTCAGCTGCTAACAGAAAGGTTGACAGTTCAAACTCACCCAGCGGCTCTGCAGGAGACAGACCTGGTGATCTGCTTCTGTAAAGATTATAGCCAGGAAAAACCTATGGACAGTTCTACGCTGTCACATGGGGTCACTATGGGTCGGAATTGACACGACACCTAACAACAACACAGGCAATCCCGGCCCAAAATGGGGGCTTTCAGCTTTATTTAGGGCTTCTTGTTAACGGATGTATTACAGACTGCACTGAAGTGTCCTACCTCCCCCTCAAGTTTTACCTCCATCTCATTATTGAAAGAGAAGCTGGACAACAGTGGGCCACATTCACAAAGGGGACGCTTGCCATATGTGCTTACTACTTTGGAGGAAGAAGTAAAGAGGGAGTCCTGGCCCTTCTTTCAGAGAGTACATAAGTCAGAGAATACAAACAGCCAGAGATGGCCCAAGTTGTCCCCTTATAAATAGGGCTCTATGGAAGTCAGGTCTGACCAATCTCACCAGTCAGATGACTCTCTCTTATGAGAGAAGTAATGAGATAGTAGGAGAAACTCCAAGCATTCACCCTAAAAATGCCCTCTCTAGGAGAATGAAATGAGAATAACTCTTGAAATAAATGCAGAATAAAGGTTTACTCCTGGCTTCTAAATGATAATGTTACGCAAAGAAAAGAGAAACCTAGACAGGCTGGGAGGGGAGAGGAGGGAAAGTCAGAGAAGGATTCTGGAGGATGATGCCCGAGCAGACTCCTGAAGGAGCAAGCATCATACGACAAACAAGGAAGGCAAGGAAAGCTACTCTAGTCCCACAGAGTGAGAAAGGAAGAAAAACCAGCTGCCATCGAGTCAATTCCCACTCATGGCGACTCCATTTGTGTCAGAGTAGAACTAGGATCCATAGAGTTTTCAACGACTGTGATCTTTCAGGAGATCACCATGCCTTTCTTCCGAGGAGCTGCTGAGTAAATTCAAACCACTATCCTTTTGGCTGGTAGCTGTTACAGATTGAATTGTGATCTCCAAAAATATGTGTTGTAAATCCTAACCTCTATGTGGTTATGGGAAACCCTGGTGGTGCAGTGGTTAAGAGTTTGGCTGCTAACCAAAAGGTCAACAGTTTGAATCCACCAAGGGCTCCTTGGAAACTCTACAGAGCAGTTATACTCTATCCTATAGGGTCACTGTGAGTCAGAATCGACTCGACGGCAACGGGTTTGGTTTTTTATGTGGTTATAATCCCATTTGGGAATGGGCTGTCTCTGTTATGTTAGTGAGGCAGGATTACTGTAGGATGTGTCTTAAATCTTAAATCAATCTCTTTTGAGCTATAAAAGAGATTAAACAAGCAAGCAAGCAGAGAGGGAGGAAAAGAGATGCCAAGCACGTGAAGATCACCCAGGAGCAAAAGCTCAGAAGAGACAAGGACCTTCCCCCAGAGCCAACAGAGAGAGAAAGTTTTCCCCTAAAGCCAGTGCCCTGAATTCAGACTTCTAGCCTCCTAAACTTTGAGAAAATAAATTTGTTTATTAAAGCCACCCATTTACAGTATTTCTGTTATAGCAGCACTAGATAACTAAGACAGTAGCTGAAAACTTAACCGTTTGTGCCACCCAGGAACAACCAGAGAGACAATAAAAAGCATGATCTCTACAGAATTATAAGCCATTCAGTATTTTAGGGGCAACATGGGGAAAATTTAGAGATGACATTAAAAAAAAGAGTCTGGTTTTACTGATCTTTTTGATATACTACGATAAGGAGCTTAAACTTTTTCCTATAGACCAGTGTTTCTCAAACTTTTTGATTTAAAAACCTCTAATGGCAGTGAGATTGAAAAAAGAGATGCAGGTAGAGGCCCATCATAATCATGAAATTTCTTTGAAGATTCTTTAAAATGTGTGCAAATTTTGTAGTCCATTCCATAGTACATATTAATATAAAAGTAACAGTGTCCCTCAAATAATAATTTTTTTTCAAGTGACTTTCTATATATCTTGGAACACCACTGCAGACCACCACAGGAACACCATTCCAATTGAGAGGCATAACTGAAGACTATTAAGTGCAACATGGTGGAACATGTTTTAGAAAGATCATTCTGGTGGCCTTATAGAAGATTATTTGAGAAACCACCAGTTAGGAACCTATATTATTAATAGTTTTAAGTGAGAGATGATAAAAGACTAAAACAGACAAAAGGATTAAGAAATAGGGGCTGAACAAGAAAAATTAAATACCTGTAAGCTCTTACCGGACAGACTTAGTAACTACGAGAGAGGAAGTTAGAATCACTACTAGGTTTCTTACATGACTACTAGATTTCTAACCTGATTATCAATCTGGATTAGAGAAACAAAAAGGAGTGGGTCAGAGGTGGTCACGGTGCTTATGGGACGTTCAAATACGTATGTAGCCAACCTTTGGCTGCATGAGTCTGAAGTTCAAAGAAGAGATTAGGGCTAGAATTACAGATTTGAAAGTAAAAACCTTGAGAGTCACTTATAAAATGGAGAGAGAAAATGTAGTGATAAAAATACTATTCCCAGCCTTATCTCCTGCTGTTTCCTTGGCTCACACAGGGTGCCTAAGTGTCTAGTTCTCAGAGGTCTTGAATCCCTGGCCATAGCAGATACAACCCCTCCTAAGAGAACTATCCTTTGATCTTTCACTTTTCAGACAGGCCAGCTTGGAACAAAATTTACATCTTGTCTGAGCCAACTTACTGCAGATATAAAGCAGCCAATCAGCTGTAACATCCTGATACTTCTCTACCAAGCTTCAATGGATCATCTACCCCAAGATATAACAAAAGGGAAAGTTAAACTCATTGCTTTACTACCGGTCAACAAGATCATTTGTCTTCTCTCCCTGGGTTAGATAGATCCTCACTGTCCCAGTCACCCACCCAAACTTAACCAGATTCATCTCTAAAGTCTGTCATTAGCAACCCCCCATTTCTAGGTATTAGCTATTTGGTCCCCAAGATGCAACACAATTTCACGTTATATAGGTCATCCCGCCAACAGGGGCGCTCATCAATGGGGTCTTCACACAAAGGAGGAGATTTGGGTATTGAGGATAGCTGGGCTTGCTGAAACCAGGCAGCAGCGTATACGGAAAGACTCAACTGGTTGTCTAGTCATCACAGAATAGGGAGTTAAGGCAGTTTTCCAGCACTGAGTGCTGGGTCACATCCATGTGCAAAATCCCTGACCTGCTACAGCAGAACCATCATACCTCAAGACCCTCTCTATCTGTAGGCTTCACAGTGAGTGAGTGCTGGCACAAGACATACAGTTTCCTCCCTCAATCCACCTCCAGAGATGGGACGATCAAAGTGAAAGGGCACTTCTAGATCTAAGACACACTTTAAGCCTACCATATAAATCATTCAGTTAGGAAAAGATGGAAGATTTGATCTTCTGGGTTAATTTTTTTCAGTAGCCCCTTGAAGGTCTCCTAATACGGGCCCCAGAGCTAAGTCATTCCAGCTGAAGTACTAGCAGGTAGACTTTCAGGCCATTCAGTTTACTTGTTGGAAATTCGTGGTGGTCATCACTGTCCTCATAGTACTACACCAGGGATTTTTGCATGTTCTCTACAGATGGAAGGACCTAGCTATAGCAGAGAGATGACCAACTATTTGGTTTCTGTAGATAGTAGGGCGTGAAAAATAAAAGCAACTTTCTGTATCTCTCTTAGACACTGTGAATCCAGGGTGTTCATAATTCATTTACAACTGCAAATAAAGCCTAAGAGTTTTTCTTTGGGAAGAAATCCTCCTTCCAGAGACTTCTACCTACATCTCACTAGCCAAAACTTGTCACATGGCCATCGAATCCATTCATCCATCCATTCATTCATTCA